AAAGCTGAGCAGGAATTTGGTGGGGCCAAGGCTGACTATGAGAAAACATGACTGATTTTCTTACTCTGACCTACAGAAAATCATCCCTAGACCCTACTGCGTTCTCTTCCCTTTACTCCACACACCTATATGGCCCTCGTTTATGAAACTTTCCTTTCTCTTGTTCCTTCTCTGTCTCAGTCTATGTAATTTTCTCCATGGTTCTCTTACTTTATTTCTCTTCTCTTTCTCTCTGAACTCTTTTCTACTGCAAAACTTTCTGGGATGTGAATGATTAAACCACAAACTCCGAGGTTTTGGCACGAGAGGGCATGTCACGGTAAGGAAAAGTTCACCTTCATACCCAGCTCTATCAATAATTTCAGCAGGATGGTAACTAGAGAGTATGTCTTATAATTGGCTTTTGCAAATAAAGAAAGACTTCTACTCATTTGTTTATCCCTGACCTAACCCTTAGTTTGGAGACTGCCTTCTGCGCATTTTATCCGGGGAAATTTTTTTTGGTTACTGTCGATTGGTGTAACCTAGATGCACAGTCCTATCTATACAGAAGCTCATAACCTTGCAACCCGCTATAAGGAAGTAATGCATGGAGGAGGGTGTAATATAACGTTCTATCTATTTCATTATAGTAATTGACGTTCTTTTAAGGAAAGACCTCCTGCTGATAAAATCAAAATTCCTTTGGATTTGTTTTCTTTTATTTAATTCTCTTCCCCCCCCCCAACTTCTTTTGCTCCTCAACAAAAGTATGGGGCTTCCGGGTAGTTTCTGGTAACTTGAAATAAATTAATCTCCCTCCCCATCCCCCCCCAAATTCCCCAACGAACGGGTCCAATAGACATCAAAAAAAGTGTCACTCAGAAATAATGACTTCTTATCCATCAAGAAGGGCTATTAAAGTGACAAAGCCTCAAAAGATACTTATCTTCAAACTAATTCACAAGGTAGCTAAATTATCTCCTAATTAACTTTCATTGATGAAGGTGGGAGGATGGTCCGCGCCTAAAACAAAGATGAATTGAAAAACTCCAATACGGCTTTATGCTACTCGAGGCTAGGTCATCATCCTTCCTGGGGAGCAAGGCTACATTTCCAGCGCCCTCAAAGGGGGTGGAGAAGGCGGGGGCAATTCTTCCCCAAAGCAGCCCTCTCCCCTTCCCCTAAGGACAGCGAAAAAGAAAGGACCTAGAGAAGTTTGGGGCTTTGCTTTTTCTTTTCCTGAGCCTAAGCAATTGTGTTCGAAAGACTTTTGATTGATTTGGTGAAGCGGAGAACGTAACCAAACTTTTAATGGGAGTCTCATCAGTTGGGCTATATTGCTGAGCCCCCTTTCTTCCAAAAACTTGTCCCTCCGCCCCCTGCCGCGTGAAGACTTCTGGGTTAGGAATGGGGGCTTCTGTGGGTGCCTGGCCAAGTACCTGGAAACACTTGGCAGCTCTCCTTTGTTCTTTCTCTGGGGCGAAGTGGGGTGGTTCCGTTGTGTGCTGTTCGGAAATTGGAGACAACGAAAAATTGTTCGGCGTCCCAGAGAACGAACTACATAGCTGTTCAGTCCCCTCCGAAAAGAAAAGAAAAGAAAAGAAACTGCTTGACTGTGTCCCCGGAATAAACGGAAGAGTGAGAATGCAAAGGAGTTGGCGAGTGGCAAAAACGAACCCGGTTTTTAAAAGAAAAAAAAATAAAGGGCTGACCTAAGATCTGACCAGACCGGACAGAGACCGTCTACTTAGGACGGCTGAGAACTTTTTTCAGGGATTTGCATTTCAGGGATGGTCAATCTGTCAGGTGGCCCAAGGGCAGGAAGGACCCAGAGCTGCAGCGAAGTCTGGCCCGACTTCCTTCGTTGGAAAAGAGGCTAAGGAGAGAAGGCCCGAGTATCCTGCTCCAGGTGAAAGAAATCCTACTTTTCCTTCAAGAGTCTGAGATACTTAGAAATGAAAGCATCTGGGATCGGTGGCGAGGGAGCATTCGTGCCCCCCACTTTCTCCCTCACACACAGCACCCTAGTCTTGCAGACGGTAGAGGATCTGTGGCTGCAAAAAGGAGATGGTGGGCTTTAATCTGGGGAAAACATCCAACGAATTTGACCACAAATATGGAAGGGCTCCCCTGGGCTGTAGGTTTGGGGAATGGATGTCGAAAAGAAATAACTCCATTAAGGAGCTGGGAAACCAGCACAATTAATACAAATCGCATTGGATTTTAGGCTTCTATACTTAGACACAGTTCTGTCCAGCTTTGTCAAGCTTTTCACCAAATTCAGAGAGAATCCCTAAAGAATTCTCTCTCCTCTTTCCTTCCTCCCTCTCCTATCTTCCCTACATTTCAATTTCTCTCCCTCTTCTCTTTTCTGTTAATATTTGTCCCTTTGTGTGTGTCTCTCTCTGTTGCTCTAAGTGTGTCTCTATCTTTTTGTGTCTCTCAATCTCTGCCTGTCTTCCACTATCTTTGCCTGTCTTCCACTATCTCTGTCTGTCTTCCACTATCTCTGTCCGCTTGTCTCTCCCTCCCTCTGTTACTATTTTTCTCGTCTTTCTGTCAAATATGTGTGTGTACACATCCAGCACATATTACATAAATTAAACATACATATATATTTCCTATTTATGGCATAGTCGGAAGTGGGCGCGGGGCGGGGGGGGAACACCTTAATACTCTAGTCAGACGCGATCATACAAATCTACTTGGATTGGAAATGACTGTAATTTTATTCTCCAGGCCTGCTATTTAATTTTGTTTTTAAGTGAAAAGAACACTCTGTGTGTGTGTGTGTGTGTGTGTGTGTGTGTGTGTACCCGTATGTGGTTTGTACTCGCTCCAATTTAGTGCCTCTGAAAAGACACGAAACTACAGAGAAAAATTAGAATAGCTAGAGCTTGGGGCAAGATCGACTCCTCGACATGGGCCTGGGGCTTTCCGACCCAGCGCCTTCAGAACTACAGCATCACACAAAGAACTGACTAGGTCCCTGCCTTCATCTCAGGATAAGATGGTCAAGGTGGGAAGGCCAAGAGCGGAGAGTGGAAGGGAGCCCGGAGTCCTGAGGGCAATGCCTAGTTTCCAGGGATCAGCGGCAGACAGCAACACAGCAACACTAAATCACATGCCTGTCCCCAGGATTTGGCTCAATCAACCCACCCCAGCTTGGGCGAAACGGCGCCTGGAAGAGTCCTGTTTGCCCCTGGACGCTGGTGACAGTAAATTCCTCTTCCCCCACCCCAAGTCCTGGAAAAGTCAAAACGAGACCAAGAAAGGAGACTTCCGAAATGGTACAAATAAATTATCATAAAACTGAGATCACTTAAAAAAAGAAAGAAAAGATTTTCTGAAATAAAAGGATTTATTCTTCCAAGAGTTCTCAACCTTCTACCCATGAGCACAAACCACCTGAACTACCCTGTTCCCCAAAGCTCCCTCTATCTAGCCAGGATTTGGAGGAGGGTGGGTGCTCCCTTGACCCTGCCCTCTTCTTTATGGCAGAAACTCCTTCCTAGATCTGAGCCCTCAGTGCGGAAGGCCCAACGGCCTCCGATGCTGTTAGGCCAAAGGGAGACCTCCGCTAGTGCCTGCCGGGCTAGGTACCGGGACAGAGGGCAACGTTTTGCTTAGGGGCAATTCGAATTTCGTTTGGACTGGGTCCGGTATGTTGCCCAGGGAGATTTCAGGCAGACACTCGAGTCAAGAGAGGAAGATTTCCCGAGCCTGAAAAGATTGTAGTGTCTGTCTGCGTGACTCTCGATGTCTGAGCGTAGTACGCGGGGTACGGGAGAGAAGAGTCGGGGAGGGCCGGCAGGCAGCAGCCTCCCAGCCCAGGGGATCCTGGAGCGGATGTGGGGATAAATAGAGATCTCTAGTACCGGGCAGCCACCGCGCTTGGCCTCTTTATTATAACAAATGTTCCGTTTACAGAGCGGGACTTCATATTCACCCGGAATTAATCTGAAATATCGATTTCCTCTCACTTTGCCGGTCCAAATCGATAGCCCTGTGCCCTGGCCCCATAAATCGCCTTCGCGGCTGCGGGCGTGGGCTCCATCTAGCACTGCGTGCGGGCTCCCGGCCCTACCGCCCTGGCACTCCGTGAGAGCCCCCACCCCACCCCCCACTGCTGGAAGCGCCCCACCCCCACCTCCGTGCCCTCCGAGCGGTTGAGGGTGCAAAGCCCGGAGAAGTGGCTACTGACTCCCCCAACGCTACCACCTGCGCTACGCCGGCTGCCTCTGTGTGGGCCCAGCCCTGTACCGGGGGTCAGGAGAAGGGGGAAGGAGATCCCAGCTGCATTTGGAGAGGATGAAGGGAAGGGGAGCCTAGGCCTGGAGGACTGGGAAGTGCGGTTCAGTCACCCCACAGTGGGATACCGGCTTACAACCCCTTGCTTCCCTAGCCTTAGGGCAGGGCATAAGGAGCCCGAGAAAGACCCCAAGTTTCGTTTGCGTTAGAACCCTGTCCCGTCATCCTGGTACCTTTGCCGCCCTCGCTCTTTCTCTCTGTCCTCGGAAGGATAGCCTCTGGTTCTGGCCTGGGGAAGCAGCCTTCTCCTCCTCCGGCCAGGCTCGAGCCGTGCGCTACCCTTCTCGGGAGGAGTCTAGGACTCAGGGACCAAGCCAAGGGACCTGAGCGATAGAAACCTTTCTGGCCCGGCCCGGGGTTTGTAGCCTAGTCTAGGCGAAGCCCTCAGGTTGGACCGAATGCGAGAGGATCCGTGGCCTGCCCTTGGAGGCAGCCCCTCAGTGAGCCCACGTCCGCTCCGTCCGGGCCAGGGGGCCACAGAGCCAGCAGGTGGAGGAGAGGTCAGGACCCCTCCAGGACAGAGGGCACAGAGAGCCTCCAAGCCCTATTCCTTGGACTCTGCACTCGAGGAAGTGAGCTCCAAACGCAAGCCCCAGACCGACGGGCCGACGATCGGACGGACTGACTGACGGACGCACAAGCACACACGCGCCATGAGTGCTCCGGCCCTTGGTGCCCGGGGCTTCGGACCACGCCGCGTACCTTACCCGAGCGGATGGAATTGTGAGGCATGGTGAGGGAAGCGATCACGGCCCACGCAGAGGGTTCGGGGATCCCGGACACCTTGTCCCGACAGCACCGGCCTCCGTGCTGCTCTGCTGGAAAAATTCAATTGGCCGGCAATGAGCCCCGCAGCCCCTTCCCCTAGACCCCCCACTCCCTGGCCCCGACTCAGGGGCTAATCCGGAGACCATCAGTCCTCGATGGGTTTTGAGCCTGAACAGGACCACTCTTTCTTGCAGTTCCCCCATGAGCCGGACCAGCTGCGGATTTAGTGCGGTGAAGGCTCCTTCGAACCCCGGCTCCCTCTTCCCTCCTTCCTCTTCTCCCTTCCATTCCCACCTCCTTTAACCTGGGGCTGAAAAGCTACCCAGGACCTATCCCTGTCCCCTATATCCGCTCGCTCCCTCCTTCTCGCCCCTTCGTACCTGACCCGCTGCGGGCCCTCGGCTGCTTTGACTCCCTTGGGAGAATACCCGGCTCCCTGCACCTTCACTGGTTCGGAAGTTTGTTCCCATCCACCCGGCATCACCGACCGGTTTTATCCCGCCGAGGCCCTGGGAGATGGGTCTGGCGAGGCTCGCAGGCCGCGGATTGGCTGGCTGGGTGCAGGGGGGCGCGGGGAAGGGGAGGATTTTGCAAGGGGGACATGGCTGAGTGGACTCAGGAGTTAGAGACATTCGCGGGAGCTTCTGTTTACAGCCTGAGAAGAGAGGAGACAGCTGAGCCCCCAACAGCAGCAGGCCTGGGTTCAGGGCCACTCGGTCCCCAGAGGAGGGGGCTAGGGTGGCAGAATGGGGGAGAACAGAGGCTAGGAGTGGAGGACACCCCAGAGATAGTTCCTTCTGGGAGGAAAGGAGCAAATTGTTTCTCTAGTGGACTCAAATTCTTCCTCAATCCAGGGTTAGCTACTTTCTCTCCCAATCTTTGCCCACTGGGTAAATAAAGGGTTTTGTTTTATTGTACCTTAATTTTGAGGATTTCTTTTTAATGTCTTTTTTTTCCCTAAGTCAAAAGCCTTCTGAGAGAGACAAAAGAGGAGAGAAATGAATCCGGGGAACTGACTAAAGGTGAGAAGGCTCAGTCTCCTCTCTCCTGGAGATGCCCACCTCCCCCCCCCACCCTTCCCTACCTTTCCTACTCCAGTCTTAAGATGTGCAGAATCAGGAAACTCTCTCAGGTTGTCAAAACACATCATTAGATTTTTCACTATTATTATTTAAATAATAATGAAGATGATATTAATGATACTAATAATAAACTATTGGATAAGTGATGTCTACCTACCATCTGTTAACTGCTTAGGACTCTCAGTTGGGGCTACCCTTGGTTTCTGCAACTTGAGGAGCAATGCGGACCCAATGAGGACCCAACCCCAGGATTAAGCTCAGCCCAGAAACTAGGGAGGAAAGAGAAGCAGGCTGTAAAGGGGGGAAGCAGGGAGTTCAAATACCTTCCAAGGTTCAAGTGGGAAGAATATTGAAAAATCCTCAAAAATGATGTAATTGAATTGGCTTACTAAAATGGTCCTCTTAAGGGAATGTGTGTGTGTGGTGGGGGAGAGATAAGGCAGATAGATGAGAAATGAGTAATTGTTGCAAGGAAAAAGAAAGGGCTTTCACTAAAGGAAATATCCTGATGTAATGGAGTCTTGAACTAGAAGCCAGAGTTCCAGTCTGCATTCTCCAGGACAACTGAACTAGCTGTAAAGCACTGAGGAAGCCATTTCACCTCTCAGTGCCTTAGTTTCTTTCTCTGTCAAACCAGCGGGTTGGACTACAATGAGTGTTCTTAACATTTTCTGTGCCATGGACTCCTCTGGCACTCTAGTGGAGTCTTCTCATAAAATAAGACACGTAAGTTACAAAGGAAACCAGTTATAGTGAAATAAAATGCACTTTTCCCTCCAATCCAAGTTTATAGATCCCTTGAAATCATCAGAGGACCCCAGCTTGAGAACCCCTGGACTTGAGAATTTCTAAGGACTTTTCCATGTCTGAGATTCCAGAAATCTATATGTAGATGAGAGAAAGGGACAAAGGACAAAATGGTGATAAATGCTGCCTCCCTTCTCCAACTCTGCTACCTCCCCCACCCCACCCCAGCATTTCCCCAAACACATCATGTTGAGTGTGCACTATGCATGGAGGTAATGCAGGAGGCTAAGGGGGTCTGTGTGTGTGTGTGTGTGTCTGTGTGTGTCTGTATGTGTGTGTGTGTGTGTGTGTCTGTGTGTGTGTGTATAGAGGTGGTAAGGAGGTTCCACATCCAGAGAGAATGAGAAAGTGACATCTCAGAGTGAGAATGGAAGAAGAGTTGGGATTCATCCCTAGGAGAGAGGTTGTCTCTCATGTCTTAGCACATGTATTGCCTGCAACAAGAACAGGGTGACAGAAGTGCCCCAAAAGCTCAGACAGGGCACAAACTCTCTCTTACCTGGCAAAAGAGGAAACACCAGGCTTCACCAGGAGCCCAGAGACCTGCAGGAATGACACAGCAAGTCCCAGACTAGCTCAGCTAGCTCCAACTGGTTCCTGTCTCTGCAATGCAGGAGGCTAGAAATTGGAGAGGAGGGAGAGACAGAGAAAGAGAGACAAATGCAGAAGCAGAAAGATAGACACAGAAAGAAAAGAAACAGAGAGAGGGAAGAGAGAGAGAAAAAAACAGGGAGTAGGAAAGGAGAGACAGAGAAAGAGAGGATAAGTGAAGACCTAAGGAAAAAAATGGAAAAATTTTGTAGGAAAAGAGGTTCCCCCCCCCAAAGGACTTCTTTGGTTCATCATTAAAAATTAAAAAACAAAAATATTTCCCTTGAACCTTAACTCACCTCTCTAAATATACCACATGTGATAATAATTTTATGATCAAGACAAGTTGGCATTTTGAATTACTAAATCAACAAGGAGACATTAGATTTTTTTTAAAGAATGATTTGTATGTACCTACTTCCTCTAGATTTCCATTTAAAGTATTTTTTTTCCTTTATGGCTCCTACTTCAGTATTTTCGGTGTTAAGTCCATTTTTCCCCCCATAGATTTAATATATCTAGAAAATTCACATCTCTAGTTTAGACTCCAGTATATACTTGATGAAGAAATTTTTTATGCACAAGTCAGGCAATTCACTGGCTGAGTCCCCAAGTCCCAAAATCCCTAAGTCCAAGAACCAGCAAGAGAAAATTCAGATGTAGATTTTCTGTGCCTCAACAGACATTCTTGAGCTCATGGGAAGGTGTCCTTGGTGTCTCAGTTCTCCACTTTCTCCCTTTGGGCAGGCATATCAGGACCTAGTCCAGACATTCCTCTATCTGCAAAACTTTAGCACATTACATTTATAATGACAACTTACATTTCTTTTTGCCTTAAAGTTTACAAATAGCTTTCTTCTTGAGGTGAATAATGCAAGTTATCATGATGTCCACTTTACAAATGATGAGAATAGCAATTATAGGTAGCATTTCCATACCACTTCTTAATGTTTGCAAAGCACTTAACAAATATAAACAAATTTTATCCTTAAGCAAACAAAGGCTAGATGATGTACCAAGGGTCACATAGCTAGTAAGTACCTGAGGTGGGATTTGAACACAGGTCTTCCTGACTCCAAGTATAGTCCTCTCTTCATTGTACCACCTTGCTGTAAGAAGGAAGTTCAGAGGCAAAGTAATTTGCCCATGGTCCCACAGCTTGTAAGTGGTCCTCTCAGGATTCAGACTCAGCTCTCTTGACTCCAAATTACAGTTTCTCATATTTAGAGTTATATGGAAACTCAGAGGTCATGGAGTGCAACCCTCTTTTATTTTGCAGATGAGGGAAGTGAGGCCAGAGGGATTAAATGATTGACCAAGGTCACATAGGTACTAAAACCAACACTCTTTCCATATCTTTATTCGTATCCTTAACATTTTTGCTTTTTACAACTCATTTTATTGCACCTAGATTTGGAGTTACATCCTAGGTGAACAAAAATTCCAATTGGTCAATTAAGAAATATTTATTAAGTGCCTATTGTATACCAGACACTGTGCTGGGGATTCAAAGATAAAAGTGAAAATCAAGTCAACAAGCATTTATTAAGCACCTTCCTATGTAGCAGTCCCAGCATCTTAAAGGAGCTCACATTCTGTCAGGTGTACCACATGTATACACATGTAGCATGTATATCAGTATGTATACATTTATACAAAGTGTACATATTTAGATTTAAAGCTCCTTTATGAGATTGTTAGATTGTGAGCTCCTTGAGGGGAGAGACTGCCTCCTCCCCTCTCCTTTTTCATCCCCAGTGCTTAGCACAATGCCTGGCACATAATAGGTGCTAAATAACTGATACTTATACAAAATAAATATATAATAACTTGGAAGAAAACAGCAGCAGCTGGAATGGGGGTTGGGAGGCATCAGAAAATCTTCCTGTAGAAGGTTGTGTTTTAACTGAGTTTTGAAGGAATTCCAAGGGGTGATCAAGAGTAGGGAGTGCACACCAGGCATGGGGGACAACTAGTACAAAAGTATGGAGGTGGGATATAGACTATCACTTATGAGGAACAAAAAGAACACTAGTTTGGCCGGTTTTCCAGGTCAGAGAGCTACTTCTTCCCTGTTTCTGATACCTATTCCATAGCTTGGTGGTTAGAAGTTTGCCTGGGTTCAAGTTCTGTCTCTGACTTTCACTGGCTGTGTGACCCTGGACAAGTCATTGTGCCCTCTCAATGCCCTAGGAAAACTCTCCATGAGGAAAGAGGAAAAAAAATCTGCCGATCTTTATCTGTAAAGGGAGTTCCCTACTCTGATGAAAACACAAGGCTGAGTAACAACAATACGCTGTGACTACTCCAGGAATTAAGGACCCTTCCACTCTGCAATACATAAACAAGGAGTCAGAAGACCTGAAATCTAGTTCTGACTGCCACTAACTTGCTCTGCAACCTTGAGCAAGTTCTCTCCCTTCTTTGGGCCTCAGTTTCCTCACCCATAAAATGTGGGAGCTCTGAAACCTCCAACACTAGGCTTCTAAGTAATTGGGGGAGTTGGGGGTGGAGAGAGCTCTCCAGGCTTCAGAACAAAAGAAACTTCATGAGGACAAAGGTGCTTTGCTAGATGTTTCTTGGAGAGTTTAAACTCATTTAATGAAGGTTCATGTAAGGGTTGTTCAGTCATTCAGATGCTTTTCCCTACTCTCCAAGCCTATCTCTGTACAACCATACAGCCTTTGGGGGCCATTAGCCTGTGGCAACTCAAGCACCATTCACACCTCTTACCTAATTCAATTTCCAGTTCTCTAGAAAACCAAGGCTAGCAGATCTCACTGGTCTATTGCCTATTGTGGTGACCTGAAGCGTACCATTGGACCCAGTCTGCACCCCAAATCTCTCTTTGACTTGCCATAGCATCTCTCCCCCTTCCTACCTGGAATACATTCCTGCCATTAACCTCTCTCCTTTGGGTTAGATAATAAAGGCAGATCAAGACTTCCAGAAGACCACCAGACTGGGGGGAGAGGGTTGTATCAAGAGACCCAAGTTCTCATTTAGGTTCTGACACTAGCTTTGTGACAATGGGCAAGACACTTAACTCTCTGGGTCTCAGTGTCTAACATAAAAAAAGAGAAAAAGGAAAATTAGGACCAGATGATCTTCGAATTTCTTCCTTAAACAAGCAGCTAGGTGACATAGTGGATAGAGTGCTGGGTATGGAGTGAAGAATACTTGAGTTCACATCTAACCTCACTTACTGGCTATGTGGCCCTGGGCAAGTCACTTACCTTCTGCCTGCCTCTGTTTCTTCATTCATAAAACGGCAATAATAATAGTATTTACCTTGCAGGGTTTATGAGGATCAAAGAAGATATTTGTAAAGCAGTACCTTGCACAGTAGTAGGCACTTAACAAATGCTTTCCCTCCCTTCCTCTTTCCTCCGGCTCCAACAGTCAGTGTTTCTATTGAAATAACTACGAGTGAGGGAAGGGGAGTGAGAAGAATCCCAGCACTAGCCCTTTCTCAGCAGCTAATTAGCAGGGATTAGTTTATCAGGGAAAGTAGTTATTCTCTTGAAGATTAAGGAAGCCCAAGATAACCTAAGGGAATGAGATATGGAACAAATATGAGGATTTGCTTATGTGTCTAACCTTTTCTGTGTCTTGAATCCCTTTACCATTCTGCTGAAACCAACGGGCCCCTTCGCAGAATAATGTTTTTAAATAATTAGAAGAAATGCTAAATTGCAGTTAGAGGTTAGTAAAAATAAAGATGTACTTTCCCCCCATCCAAGTTTATAGACTCCTTGAAATCCATCCATAGATAGGCTACGAGGACCCCCGGTTAAGAATCATTGATGACGTGGAATAGAAAAATCCCTGAATTCAGCCTCAAAGGACTTGTTTGGGTTCTAATCCTGGACATGGCTTTTACAGGTTTGGGAAGCTAGTAACTTTACCTCTCTGGGCCTCAGTTTCATTATCGGTAAAATGAGAGGGTTGGATTTAATGATCTCTGTAATCCCTTTGAGTTCTAAACCTAGACAGAATCTGACAACCTTTTGGGCTTCAGCAGGAAGAGTCGACCCCAGATAATGAGGAGCCAATGTTCAGTGCCCAAAGGGGATGGGGATAGGTGCTGGAGAACAAATACTACTTTCCCCATTTTGCCCAGGGACTGCACGTGCATGCATAAGTATACACACACACACACACACACACACACACACACACACACACATTCACTCACTCACTCAGACCCCAGCAGCATTTCCCACTGGGGTCTTTTCTGACAGATTTTCACCATCACAGCAGGGATGCCCTGGATTCCTGCAGTGTGCCCAAAGCCTCGGCAATGTCTGCCAGCCCTCCCCAGAACCTCCAGGCTGCCAGGGCAGTAGGGATCAATCATTAATTTCTCCCCCAGGGTTGCAGCTGGCAGAAACAGAGAGGCAGGTCCTGGCAGGTGAGAGGAAAGGTGCACTGATCCCCAGGGAGCCCATTGGAAAATGCCATCCATGGGCATATTTTTTAGTCCATTGTTGATCTGAGAGCAATCTGTACCTCAGACTTTGTAACTAAGCCTTTCCTTTCCTTTCCTCTCCTTTCGCTTCTCTCCCTGCCCTGACACACAAGTATAGAGGGATTTTGGATACTTTTGAGATCCTGTTTGGTCCAAAGGAGTTCAAAGTACTGGAGAGGCATCCTGAATAGGAAATAGACACTGAAGTGGAAGGGGAATGGGGGAGGAGTGGGGAGCAGGAGATGAATAAAGTGGAAGCAGGAATGGACAAAAGAGGAGGGAGGGGAACAAAAAGAGGAAAGAGGAAAAGAAAGCAACATTTTAAAGAGAGGAAAGCAAAAGCCTTTTAAAAAAAGTAAGTGAAGTATTAGAACATAAACATGAAAGACTGTGGTGTGGTGGGAAATTCACTGGGACTTTGGAGTCAGAGGACCCTCTGCTTGAAGGCCCACTGTACTATTTACTCTATTACCTGTGTGGCTTTGGGCAGGTCACTAGACATCTCTGATCCTTTGTTTCCTTATCTATTAAACGTTTGGGTTCAGACTAGATCCCTGAAGGTCCCGTCTGTCTCTCATGCTTGGGTTGTACCTCATCTTCCCTGCCACTTTCTATATCGCACCCTTCTCCCATCGTGAGTAGAACCCTCTTGGGACATAGGTAGTGTCCAGGGAGATGTCGGACTCCAGCACCTGGAGAACTTTATTCCCGTCCCATGAAAGAGCAGCTGCCTCCCCCCCCTTCACCCCCCATCCCCTGCCAAGAATGTTCTACTGACTCCCCCTCCTTTCCCTCTTGACAGAACACCTGCCGGTCCAACCCCAGAATAACAGGACTCAGAACCCAGGAATCCTCCCTCCCTAGCCAACACCGAGGGCATTGGAGTGTGCTAGCGCTCCTGACAGACAGCCACTCTTGGGCAGGTGCCAAAGGAAAAAACCCAAGCTCAGAGCCTTCATCAGAGGCAAGATTCATTTTGTCCTCCATGGCCTCCAAGTTCCAGATGTTCCTGCTGTTCTGTGCTTCACAGAACAGCTGGGTGTAACCCCTTACTTCCTCAGACTCTTTGGGAAAGGACTACAGACCTTGTACAGGGTGGGTGTGAATCAGTGAGCTACCAAGCCATCTATGATTAGGAGATGAAACTCAACCTTTTACACTGCAGGGAAGACCAGCTTGCTTGGGCTTTCAGTATCGGGACAGGACCCAGTAGTGCTAGGCAGAAGCCTCTTGGGGGTATGAAATCCTCAATTCAATTCAACAAGCATTTATTGGGCCCCTACTATGTGCCAGGCACTATGCTAGGCTTTGGAGAGAGGATACAGATGAAAATAAAACCAAAACAAAACTTAGCCTCTGCTCTCAGGGAGGCTACATTCAATGGGGGAAGGGAGGCAAAACCTATGGGCCCCTTCTCAGAATAATGTTTTTTAAATAATTAGAGGAAATGCTAAATTTCAATTAAAGGTTAGTAAAAATAAAAATGTGTTGTTTCCCCATCCAAGGGAGAGATAATGCTAATAATTACTCCATGTCAGACACTAGGCTAGGTGCTGTTGATATAGATACAAGCAAGCAAGACAGTCCCTCCCGTCATGAAGCTTTCGTTCTAATGGGAGAAATCGACACATAAAGGGAAATGAGAGCTGGGGACTGTGTGGTGTGGAGATGTGTAGGAAGTGGCATAGAGGCTGTTGGAAGATGGAAGGAGTACCTACTACGTGCCTGGCATTGTGCTAAGTGCTTTACAAACATGTCCTTTAATTCTCCCCAAAACCCTGGGAGATAAGTGCTATGAAGATCCCCATTTTACATCTGAAATAATGGAGGCACAGAGAGGTTGAGTGATTTGCCCAGGGTCACACGGCTAATCAGTCTCTGAGGTTGGAATCCAACCTAGGTCCCCTGAACCCAAACTCAGTCACTCTCTCCATTACTGACTTCCTTCTGCAAAGTTAGAGATGTCCTCAACCATCCCTGATTTGCCTCAATAACTCGTTATGCACCAGTCTTCCCTAAATTTATCTCAATCTTTTTTTTTAAGCTCTTTATATTTTTCAGTTTGGGCCAGCTCTTGATAAGATAAAGGCAGAGGAAACCCTCCAGGGAGTCTGTCCCTTGACCTCATTGTACATCCAATTATCCTGTATTTTTGCTTCCCCAGCCTCGAGGAGGAGATGAGGCATGCAGTGGTGAAGAAAGTCTTCGATGAGTCAAAATGGGGTCATTAGTGGGTTGTGGAGAAATGGGAGTATAATAGCAATGGAGACCATTGTGGGTGGTGGTCCAAAAACCCTGGAGAAGGAGACAGCTGTGCCTTGAATGCAGAAGGGCTGAACCAATTCATATCAACACCAACAGTGTTCATGAGCCTGTCTTTCCACAGCCCTTCCAGCATTAGCTATTTTTGCTGTTCATCATCTTTTGCCATTTGATGGGAATGAGGTGAAACCTCAGAGTTGGTTTACTTTCCGTTCCTCTTACTTTCAGGGATGTGGAGCACTTTCTTTCATGATTACTTACCATTCGCCTTTTTCTGAAAACTACTTAGCGTGCTTTGCCTATTAATCTGTTGGGGAGAGATTCATTTAAAGATCAAAGAAGAGGAAGAGGGGACAGAGAAAGGAAGGGGCAGATATAGGAAAGGGACTTTCCCAACCCTGAGCAGCCTCCGTCTCAGCACAAGTGTCTAAACTAAGAAAGGTCCCGATTCCAAGATCCTGATTTCACCTCTTAAGACTTTGCTAGAAGGGTCCCTTCCCCACGCTTTCACAGTCAGAGTGATGCTGAGTCACACGGTCATAGGTTAGTCTCCTCCAGGCCAGGGGTCTTCTCTCTCCTTTTGGTAGGCCTCAGCTGCTCTCACTAGAGTGACTGGGGAGGAAAAGTGGAAGGTGTACTGAAGGAGGAGTCAGAAGACCTCATTCTAGCCCTGGTTTTGCCTAGCTAGTTGTGTGATCTCTGGCTAATCACTTCATTTCTCTGGGCTTCAGTTCCCTTGACTAAAATTGTATGTGCCATGGAAAAGGGTAAGATTTAATGATCCTTTTGAGTTTATACTGGTCCATGAGTCTACAAGAACATCGTATTGTTGATGAAACATCCCTTTCTTTAATGAATTTTCTGTTACCAGCTCTGGCCATGGATCTGATGGAGTCAAGGTGAGAACAAGTTGCCACTGTATGTGTAAGTGGGTTGTAGGTGTGGAGGGAGAGGTAGAAGGTTGGTCTGGGACTCTTCTATCAGGCAGCTGGTGGCATAGTGGATAGAACCTTGGGCCTGGAATCAGAAGGACCTGGGTTCAAATCTGGCTTCAGGTGCTTACTAGCCACGTGACCCTAGGTAAGTCACTTAAGCTCTGCCTCAGTTTCTTCAACTGTAAAATGGGGATAATAATAGCATCCACTTCCCAGGAATCCAATGAGACAATATTTGTAAAGCACTTAACAGTGCCTGGTACATAGTAGGCACTATATAAATGCTTATCCCTTTCCCTTTCCTCCCTTCCCCCCATTACCCTGGCAACTGCATCAGCTCCTGCCTTTGTAGCTACTCCAGTCTGTGAGCCAGCTAACTTACTCAACAAGCATTTATTAAGCACTTACTGTGTGCCAAGTCCTGAGAATACAAAGGCAAAAATGAAACAATCCTTGCCCTCAAGGAGCTTACATTCTATCACATACAAAGCAAATACAAAGTAACAATGAGGAAAAAGAAGGCACTAGAGAGCCGGGGAAAATCAGGAAAGGCTTCCTGTAAAAGGGGGCCCTTGAACTGAGTCTTGAAACCATGGAATCCAAGAGACAAAAAGTAAAGAAAAACTCTTTGGAACAAAGACACAGAGAGGGGAGGTGGGGAGTCACCGGTACAGAACAATGAGGCCAGTGTGGCTGCATGATAGAGTTCAAGGCAGGGAATAATATACTTGGCTAGACACAGCCAAGTTGTGAGGTGCTTTCGGTGACCAACAGTTTAAATTTTATTATAAAGGTACTGGGGAGCCACTGGAGTTTATTAAGCAGGGAAGTGACCTGCACCTTAAGAAAATAATTTTGGTGACTATGTGTTACATGGATTGATTGGCAGAGAGATCAATTACAAGGCTATTGCAATTGTCCCCCCCCCCAGGCATGATCAGAGTCTGAATTAGGGTGATGGCCATGTGAGATCACACCAAGAACAGCTCCCCACCCCCAGTCTAAATGAAAGTGCTTCATTTGCCATAGCGTGAGGCCAGGTGTCTACTAGAATGGTGGGCAAGTGTGCATCTGCAGAGATTTCCACCAGGCAGGAGGCAAGAAAAGGGGTCACTGGTTCAGGACCCAGGCTCCAGGTTCATAAGACTTAGAAATAAAAGGGACCCTTGAGATCAGGTTTTCTTCATTTTATAGTTGGGGAAACTGAGGCCCAGAGAAATTAAGTTGACTGAAGGGCACACAGTAGTAAGGATCAGAGTAGGGTTAAATATCTCCCAAGCCAGTGGCCAACAAGCCAGTTAGGCAGGTGGCCGTCGACAACCGTCTTTGAAAGCTGTGTCAGGAGAATTCACGGATGTCTCCTTTTTGCTCTACTTGCTCCTTCACTACCTGAGAATTCGATGTGTGTCTCAGAGAGACCTCCTCCTAGGCACTGGTGCCATTTGGTGTGAGCTGGCCCTCAGCTGGGCTTGTAGAGATGCTTGTTCACTGCACGATAATATGGGGGAGGCATACTGGACTGAAAATCAGGAGACCTGGAGTTCTACCATGAACAAAACACATAATAATAGTAACTCACATTTATTTAGCCTGTCAAGGTTCACTAGGTAGCTGCGTGGCCTTGGCCAAATCAGTTAACCTCTTCGGCCTTTGTTTTTTCCTTTAAAACACGGCAGAGTGAAAAAGGCACTGGGCTGGTAGGACCAGAGGCCTGGATTCTGCTTTGGGCCCTGCTGCTTCCTATCTTTGTAACTGTGGGAAATTTATAACCTCCTGAGCCTCAGTTTCTTAATCTGTAAAATGGAAGAGTAGGGTTAAATATCTGCTCTGCTTGCATCTTGGGGTTATTTTTCAGGATCTCATGACATTCTGAAAATGAAAACACTTTAAAAACAACAATGCATTACAAATTTTAGCTATTATTATGATAACCTCTAAGGGTCTCTTCTGGACCTAAAATTGACTTATTTCTGATAGCCAGTTCCTCAACAGTAGAGCCATCTTCCAAGGCAACTGCAGGTTCAGTCCTGAGTTTTGTATAAGGAGTATACCTGATAGAAGATTTTTAAGTAAAATATGCAAATCAACCACATTACTGGGTTCTCCACTCCCAACTCCAAAGTTTTGATGGCTTTATCCATAAGTCTCTGCAGAACATGCTTCCCATAGCCCAAGTTAAGGTAGGGTTTGTGACCTAAGGACTCCTGTGTGACTGCTGCATGGTCCTCATTGGCTCCAGTGGCAGAGTCACCAGACAGAAGAGTCATGACCTAGTTGACTAGTCACTGGGGGTTCTTCCCAGCTTTTTGTACTGGGCCTCGCCCTCACCTGACTCTGACTCCGGCCTTAGAGGATGCCTCTAACCTGTCTCCCTCCTCCAGAACAGAAGGGTCCAGCAGGTGGCTCCTCCCCAGTGTGGGGTACCAGATTCAAATGTAATTGGGAAATATTTAACAAAATGAATAATAATTCAATAAAACACAGAGAATATTATTAAAACTAAGTCAGTATGCAGCCCATAGGCATCCTTATATTCAGATTAGTGGCTCCCATTTCTATAGGAGTTTGACACCACTGCTCTAGGATCATGGTAGGTCAATTTCCTTGGTCATCATTGATGGGCATTGACTCATGCATTCATAGACTCAAAGAAATCTTAGAGATCGTCAATAACAATAATAGCAATAATATTAACCAATAATCATGTAGCATTTCAAGGTTTGCAAAGCACTTCCTGTTACTTCATTTGATGCTCACAATAGCACTGGGAGGTAGGCACTATTAATATCCCCATTTTACAGATAAGGAAACTCAGGCTGGGAGAGGTTAAGTGACTTGCCCCAAGATCTTACAACTAGTGACCAATACCAGCACTCTATCTACAATGCTATGCTACCTTCTCTCAACTATCTTAATGTGCAAATGAGGAAGCAGAGGTTCAAAAAGGTTAGCTCAAGGATATGACCAGATCATCTGACTCTACCATGATGCCTTCCTCTGCTGCTTCCCAAGACCAAATTTTTCATGATTTCTCAGGAAAATCTGAGTCCCAAGGCTCACATCTGTATGACGTGACTCTCTAGCCAGTACCTTACATCGACATCTGGGACCTGGGC